TGTATGTCCTCTTTTGAAAAGTGTCTATCTAGGTCCGTTGCCCATTTTTTTAATGGATTGTTTATCTTCCTTTTGTTAAGTTTCATGAGATCCCTGTAAATGTTGGAAATTAAACCCTTATCGGTGGTATCATTGGAAAATATGTTCTCCCATGTAGTGGGTCTTCTTGTTGTTTTGTTGATGGTTTCCTTTGCTGTGCAAAAGCTTTTTATTTTGATGTAGTCCCATTTGTTTATTTTCTCTTTAGTTTCCATTGCCCTAGGAGCATTATCAGAGAAGAAATTCCTTCGGCATATGTTTGCAATTTTGCTGCCTGTGGATTCCTCTAGTATTTTTATGGTTTCCCGTCTTATGTTTAAGTCTTTTATCCATTTTGAGTTTATTTTTGTGTATGGTGTGAGTTGGTGGTCTAGTTTCATCTTTTTGCATGTATCTGTCCAATTTTCCCAACACCATTTATTGAAGAGACTGTCTTGACTCCATTGTATGTTCTTGCCGCCTTTGTCGAATATTAATTGGGCATAGTGGTTTGGGTCGATTTCTGGGGTCTCTATTCTATTCCATTGATCTATATGTCTGTTCTTGTGCCAGTACCAAGCTGTTTTAAGAACAGTGGCTTTGTAATACAGTTTGATATCTGGTATTGAGATCCCACCTACTTTGTTCTTCTTTCTCAGGATTGCTGCAGCTATTCGGGGTCTTTTTTTATTCCAGATGAATTTTTGGAACGTTTGTTCTAGATTTGTGAAATATGCCGTTGGTAATTTAATGGGGATTGCATTGAATCTATAGATTGCTTTGGGTAGTATGGACATTTTGATGATGTTGATTCTACCAATCCATGAACATGGTATGTTCTTCCATCTGTTTATGTCTTCTTGCTAGGGTCCAACCCCAGCAGGTCTAGGGGGCCCCAAAGGTGTGGACGGAGTCGGCGAAGAAGGAATGACACAGAGACAGCGTTCAGTTGATCAGCAGCCTAGCCAGGATCTCTAGCCAAGTTCTGGTCAGGATCTCCAGCGAAGTTCTGGTTAGGATCTCAGGCCAGGTTCTGCGTCCATGTTCTCTTGCTAGGTTCTCCAGCCAGGTTCTGTAGCCATGTTCCCTCGCTAGGTTCTCCAGCCAGGTTCTGTCCAGGTTCTCTAGCCAGGTTCAGTCACCAGGTTCTAGTCAGGTTCTCTTACCATGTTCTATCCAGGTTCTGTAGCCAGGTTCTGTCTCTAGGTTCTGTGGCCAGTTTCTGTCCAGGATCTTTTGCCATGTTCTCTCGCTAGGTTCTGTCTCTAGGTTCTGTGTAGGTTCTGTGTCTAGGTTCTGTGTCTAGGTTCTGTGTCCTGTTGTCTTGTTACATCTGTATTTATACCAGTTGATTCCAATCCTATCAATCTCTATTCCAAATGTTAGGGCGTTTCTTATCTCCATTCCAGGGAGTAAAGATTATGTAGCTTAAGCATGATTGTTCGTAGTTAAAGTGATTAATTACCCGCCTGGCACTTAGTTAAGGGGTTTTATTCCCTCCCTAACTTCAGGGGAAAATCCCTACCTGGGGAAACAACCTTTCTCAGAGAGGAGACCTTGGTTAAAACACATAGTGCCAAGAAGGTGAGCAAACATATTATGAACAGTATGCCATATATGCCAGGTCCCTTGAAACAGCAAGGATGGACCGGCTCCCGGCACTTACAGCTCCAAAAGACTATACAATGGAGTTATTCTTCCTCTGCTACAGATGAGGAAACTTAGAGAGGTGGAGTGACTTGCCTAAGGTAACACATGCAAAACTATATTTACCATTGTTGATGGCACATCACTCCTTCTCCCAGATTGCTCTGCATTCAAAGGACCTTCTGATGTCTAGGACAGGAAATAATAGGCTATGCTCCCCCTGGTGGAGGGATGCAGCAACACACAATGTCCCTGCAAAGATGGGAGGGTTACTGCCTTGAGCACCACAAGCAAGTCACAGGACGCTCAGCTGATCGGAAGACGAGTTTAGACTTCCTTTTACGCTTTCCCCCCAATAGATAAATGTTATTGCATTTTCAAAATATGACAAGTAGGTTTTGAGGGTCATCTACCATCTTCTTTGTAGCTAGACAACTCTTAGATCTTATACATGGGCTAGCTGATTGGGTTTTTTTTTCAGAGACATAGATAACACCTAACATTTTTCTGATATCCTTGTGTTTAACTGCTGTGGCTTGCTGAATCTAAGCAGCTGAGTTTGATATAAGTTCAATGCCACTAACTGCGCTAACTTTCTGGACTTGAGATATTGAACGAACAATGCTTGGCCCCATATGAACATTACAGGTAGAATTTTTTTTTCCAGATAGATTTTTTTTAATACAAAAATGATCAGATTTCAATAAGAGCCCCACTCTCCTGCACAGAGACGTTGATAGGGAAGTGAGCATTCACCAACCTCATCCTGTAAAGGAGGCCAGTGGAGCACTCTCAACCATGTGCCTTGACTCCAGACTGTGTAAACTATGGCCAGTTTCTTTCTCTTCCCCACTGTTTGTCAACTCGGAGCCTCTTCCTTTTATTTCCAAGGAGGCGGAGTTCTACATTGATGAAGTCCCTTGCAGAATGATCTCATCAAGAAACTCTGTACCCATCCAAGCCAGTTGCTCAGTGGTTAGAGCACCAACCCTTGGAGGGCTGAGGGTTTGATTCCCAGTCAAGGGCACGTACGTACCTCAGACCTCAGTTGCAGGTTCCATCCTGGGCCCTGGTCAGGGCACAAGCGGGAGGTAACCAACAATGTTTCTTTCTCCCCCCCCTCTCCTTCCCTTCCACTCTATAAAAATCAATGAAAAAAATATTCTCACTCCTCAATAAGGATAAAAACAAAAACACTCTGTACCTATTAGCTATCTATCTTTCTATCCCTCACACCCAGCCCTAAGCAACCACTAATCTTTTTTTTTTTAAATATATTTTATTGGTTTTTTACAGAGGGGAAGGAGGAAGGGAGAGGGATAGAGAGTTAGAAACATCGATGAGAGAGAAACATCGATCAGCTGCCTCTGCACACCCCCCACTGGGGATGTGCCCGCAACCAAGGTACATGCCCTTGACTGGAATCGAACCCGGGACCCTTCAGTCCGCAGGCCGATGCTCTATCCATTGAGCCAAACCAGTTAGGGCGACTAATCTTTTTGTCTGCATAAATTTGCCATTTATGGATGTTTCACATAAATAAATTATATAATATGTGGTCTCTTACCTCTTACATATTTTGAAATTAAGTGTGTTTACATTGTAATTTTGCTTTGTACCACAATTAGTGGTACAAATCAGTGTTTTTAGCCCTGTGATTTTATACGTTTTTAAAGATTAGCAGAACGTTACAGCAAATCCAGAGTTAAATTTTATCATCCCTTCCCCAAAGAGAAGCCCAGAGGCTCTATTTCTCAAGGAAACAAAATGAAAAGGAGTACAAATAGCCACCAAGGGAGTTAGGACATTTTGACCTTTTATTGAAGATTTTACCATCTAGGCCCCTGATCCCCAGGTCCTGCCTGTCCTGGGGTCTGAGCTCACCTTTGAGATGAAAAAGGCTGGGCGACGGATGGGTCAGGGCTGTCTCCTGCCCATTTCCAGACTGTGGGGCTGCCCTGTCAGTAGGAAAGATGCCTGAGGACACCCAGCGGTCACTCAAAGGGGCAAGAGTGAAGGAAAGAGAGGAATGTCCCATCCGCTAGAGGAAGCAGCAGTTATTGGGGCAAGAACTAAAGATGAGGCATTTGCTTGGCTGGTGTGGCTCAGTGGTTGAACATTGACCTATGAACCAGGTCATGGTTTGATTCTCTGTCAGGGCACATGTGGGCTTGATCCCATGTGGGGCATGCAGGAGGCAGCCAATCAATGATTCTCTATCATCATTGATGTTTCTATCTCCCCCCTCTCTTCCTCTCTGAAATCAATTTTTAAAAAGCATATATATATATATATATATATATATATATATATATATATATTAGAGGCCCGGTGATGAAATTCATGTGGCGGTGGGGGGGGGGTGAGGGGAGGGGGGATGGTCCTCAGCCCGGCCTATACCCTCTCCAATCTGGGACCCCTTGGGGGATGTCTGACTGCCGGTTTAGGCCCATAAACCGATCCTGCAATCCAGGACCACTGGCTCCTAACCACTCACCTGCCTGCCTGCCTAGTGCCCCCAACTGCCCTCCCCCGCTGGCCTGGTCACCCCCGACTGCCCTACACTGCTGGCCTGATCTTGCCCCAACTGCCCTCCCCTGCCGGCCTGATTGCCCCTAACCCTCTGCCAGCCTGATCTCGTCCCTAACTGCCTCTGCCTTGGCCTCCACTACCGTGGCTTTGTCCAGAAGAAAGTCGGACATCTGGAAGGTGGCCGGTTGACCTGGTCTAATTAGCATGTTACCCTTTTATGACTATAGATGAGGCACTTGCCAACAGGCCAGGCCAGCTCTTGAGGCTGCCTAGGGAGCCACAGGTACTTCATGTGGGGATATTCTGCAAGGTCAGCCACAGGACAGGCATCTGCTAAGGTGGTATGTGGAAGCTCTGCCTTGGGTCTGACCCGAAGGAGGAAGCTTGTCAACCTGACCTACTCCTTCTGAGTTCACATCTAGCGGTCAACCACTTCCCCAGGAATCCCTTTCCCCAGCAAAAATCCTTTGTCTCCAATATTGGGCGGGACTCATGCAACCCTCGGACGTGACCCAGAAGTGAGCAGCGGTTGTAGTGTCAATCGTAGACTTAACCAAGTAGATGCTCTAAGTTAGAGGATGGCTTTGGAGACCTCCACATTCTCCTTGGACAATTTTAAGTGAGTTCAGAGGGTTGGGAGGACGTGCTCTGGCTGAGCGGGAGCAGAGAGGAGGCAGGAACGAAGGTCCAGTGTCAAACAAAGACCTGGCTTATAGGAAGAGGGCAGGAGAGGAAAAACACACAAAGGAGCTAAAATGATAAGTTTCTGAAGTTGGGTTTGAAATAAGGACACAGTGACGAGATGCCTGAAGCTTGTTTTAATCCCATCTCCTCTGTCCGGGGAGCAAGCTCTTCAGATTAGAAATGGAAGGAAAAATGTTGGTCAAGGAATCGAAAGCCCAGTGTAGTGCCCTGAATGGTGTCCCCTCCAAATTCAGTTCACCCCTTATCAGAGGTATCGTTGGCGAATATAGTCTCCCACTCAGTAGGTTGTCTTCTTGTTTTGTTGATGGTTCCCTTTGCTATGCAAAAACTTTTTCGTTTGATGTAGTCCCATTTGTTTGTTTTTTTCTTTTGTTCTCCTTAACCAAGGAGATAGATCAGAAAAAAATATTAGTAAGAGCAATGTGGGAGTTTACTGCCTATGTTTTCTTCTAGAAGTTTCATGGTTTCAGGTCTTACATTTACATCTTTAATCCATTTTGAGTTTTTTTCTTGTATATGCTGTAAGAAGGTGCTTTAATTACATTTTTTTTGCATGTATCTGTCCAATTTTCCAAACACCAATTATTGACTAGAGTATCTCTGCCCATTGGAGGAGGTGCCTTCTTATAACCTGTGTATGAAGCTTACCTAGTGCCAGGCATCGTACACCAACTATCCCTTAGGACAACGATACCCTGCAATGTGCTGATGGCCCAGGGGAGGCGGGTTAAGCAGGAAGAATGGGAGTAGGGGGGCCTCGGGGGCACTGGAAGGAAGGAGATAGACAGGGACTGACTGGTGAATGAAGCCCTCAGGTCCCAACAGGGCTCCAGAGAGGCCAGTCCTGCCAAGACACCCAGGGCAGGAGGTCACTATGATGCCCACCCCCACCCCCCAGTGAAGGGAAGAGGGGTCTGAGCAGGGCAGAGGCTCTGATGAGATGCGATGCCCACCGTGACTCGTCATCCTTGTCCAGTTTCTTCACCTCCTTGATGACCTCCACTGCCTCCCAACAGACCTCAGCACGCCCAGGGAGGGAGTCAGGCTCGGCAGGAGACAGGCAGCAGCCTCCTCGAGGCGCACTTTATTGGGGAGCGGGGTGGGGGACCTAGGCCTGCTGGGCCCGAAGCAGCGCTCGCACCTGGCTGATCTGCCAGTCAACGCTGGAGCGGGCAGTGCCACCCAGGGCAGCATACTGCTCCACGCTGTGCCCGTAGTCCCACACCTGGCTCACGTCGCCTGAGAACAGGTGGCTGGGGAAAGAAAGGAGATGGGCTAGCGCAGCCCAGCCATGCCGCCTCAGGGACCTGGGAGGCAGCAGAGGGAGGGGAGGGGGCCGCACCTGATGGTCTGTAGCTCCTGCAGCGACAGCTGGTTGAGGGCAACCCCCTTGGTCTCCGCCATGAACACTGCTTTCCCAGAGGCCTCGTGGGCCTGGCGGAATGGCATCTGCAGGTGCCAAGCGGAGGGCAGCACTGAAACAGGCTTCCTGGCTCCCTGCCCTGCTGTGGGTACCTATGTCTCCCTAACCACCCCTACCCCTGGCCCCTCCATCCCAGCCACCCCACACTCACCCCTTTGCGGACCAGGTAGTAGGCGAGGTCAGTGGCCAGCATGTCAGGACTAAGAGCCTGCACCATGTTCTCACGGTGAATCTGGGGATGTGGGTGGGGAAGTGGTGAGTCTTGGGGCCCTGGGCACTCCAGGCCTGAAGCTGCCACCTCCAAGCCTACTCCTCAGCCAGTATGTCTCCTGCCCTGGGCAGATCCACTCTTTCCCACCCTGTTTGCTCTCTCTGGCTCGAGCTGTCTTTTCATAATTATTGATAATTTGTAGGTGTGCTATAGGGGTTGCCGTTACGTTTCCAGAGTCCTTATCTTTGGTGCACATCAGAATCACCTGCAGAATTTATTACAAATACAGACCGCCAGGCCCCATCCCCGGAGTTGGATCCAGTGTTACTGGAATGAGGCCCAGAATTGCACTCTCTCAAGTTCCCCGGTGATGCAGACACTGCTGGTCCCAGAAACACTGCTTTAGACACACCCTGAACTAGTTAGGATTGAAATGATACGCAGATGGGGATCTGGTTCAAATAGGGGGGTGGGGTGAAGATAGCTGCCAAATCAAGAATGGCCATGAGGTGGTTATTGCTGAAGCCGGGTGTTGGTACACAGGGGTTCATTACACATATCTCAACTGTTGCATAATGGAATTTCCCATAATAAAAAGAAATCTGGTCAGGCCAGGTGATGGGACCCCTTGAGTCTAACTACTTCCATAGTTTTGCCCCTCAAAGGCAGGACCAAGCACATGCCCCCCCCCCCCCGCCCCAGGGCTTCTGGACCACCCACCCTAGCCTCCTCTCATGATCACGCTCTGCCCATCCCAGAGTTTAGGGACTGGGAGAGAAGATGCATGTCTTACCTGCAACGTAGAGATGACGCCAGTGGCCACCTGGAGGACAGCACCCATGGTGTCTGACACTTCAAACACAGCTTCCTTGTCCTCCTGAGAGGGAGGCACGTGGCAGGAGGTGAGGGCTCAGCAGCCCCGTCCCTCACGGAGGCATCCCCCTGCTTTCCACTGGGAGCACTCAGCACCCCCACACCCCACATCAGGGAGAGGAGAGAGCTCTCGGGGTGGTCAGGGTCTGGGAGCACGGGATGGAACGTGGCAATTCTGTGGGGCCCCTGCCTGGAAGTGCCAGGGCCCTGCCAACCGGTAGGTGACGTCTATGCAGAGGGGCCCCTCCCCCACCGCCCGCAGCCTCACACCTGTAAGTCCTTGTTGTAGGTGCTTGGAAGTCCCTTGAGGGTCATCAGGAGCCCAGCACACTGAGGGCAGAGTGAGGGTCAGGAGGTGGGACCTTGGAGCCCGCCCCTGGAAGCTTCCCCAGGACCCCCCGGGTCAGCCAGAGGATTTGCCCTGCTCCCTGCCCGTCTCACCCGTCCAAACACTCGGCCCGCCTTGCTCCGGATCAGCTCCAGGCTGTCCGGGTTTTTCTTCTGGGGCATCAGGCTGCTTCCAGTGCTAGGGACAGAGATGCTGGGGCTGAAGGGGCTCCTCTGCCCCGGGCTGCTCTGCTGGCTGGGGCGGAGAGGAAGGAAGCCATGTGGGGGCGCAGAGCGGGGCAGGGCAGCGTCTGGCCTTACCTGTAGGCATCGGAGAGCTGCACAAAGCTGAATTCCTTGGTGCCATAGAGGATGAGATCCTCGGCCATCCTGCTGAGATGGGTCATGCACAGCGAGGCCCAGAACAGGAACTCGGCTTGTGGGAGGGGAGGGAAGGTAGGCTCTCGGGTCACCAGGCCTCCCTTGCTCTCCACCCTCCTGGAGAAGCTCCAGGTGGACCATATGGGAGGGGGAGGCAGCTGGAGAGGATGGGGACTGGGGCACAGAGGGGGGGCACCGTGCAGGGGATGAGTGGGCTGGCCCCCAGGACTCACCCACAAAGTCTCGCTCACTGGTAGCATCCATGCTGTTGAGAGTGATGGCCCCAAATTTGAGTTCTGGACAAGGGGGAGAAGGGGAAGGCAATAGGGCTGGGCTGGTGGACAAGGATGGGCCTCCTCCACCCTGAACCAGGCTGCCCAGCCACCTGCCTGTGGCCCCCTTTCAGCGGGGAGGAGTAGGGAGGGACAGGAGGTGAGGAGGGCCTCCTGTACAGGTCCCAGAGGGAGGCAGGAGCCCTGAGTGTACCCAGGGCCGTGCACCTCTGTCACAGGCCTTCCCTTGCCTCTCTAACTTCAGTGTCAGTAGCTAACAGGATTCACCCAGACCCCTGCCCTCTCTCTGCAACACCCCGGCAGAAGCTGATGGTGATCTCCCGAGGGTGGGCGGAGGGCTTACCTGTTCGGAGCAGCTCCCGGTCCACACCCAGAGGATTGCCTGCAATGGCCCCACTGCAGGGGCAGGGGATTCTGAGTGACCAGGGCTCCTGGAAAGCAGGCCCGGGCACATACACACCCAGAGTTGAGTCCTGGTTGCCAGGGCTACGGCCAGTCAGCTTGGTGCCTGACACTTGTCCCCGTGCAGGGAATAGCAGGCTGTGGGTAACTGGCTGGCTCTCAGGGGCTTCTCTGGAGAGCTCTGGCCCTGCTCTGACACTCACTAGCTTGGTTGTCCACACCTTAGAGAGAACTGGGTATCCCTGCAAGATCCTGCCTGCCTATGTAGGAAGAACTCTGGATGGGAAAGCCAGTCCCCTCGGTCCTTGCTGGCTCCTCCTCTTCTGTCAATCCGCAAGGGCCATGCTAATTATGTGGCAGCAGCCCTGTCCCCACCCTCGGAGCACTGGGACCTCACTCACCTCCCCAGGGGCAGGACGTTGATCCGCTTCTGCACCTCCAGCAGCCTCTCGGAGTCTCTGGTCAGTGCCACGGCATGGCTGTGGGAAGCCAGGGTACGGAAGGTCAGGGCAGCCAGGGGGCCTCCCCTCCATCATGGCCCCTCCATCACCATCCCACTCACCTCAGGATCCAGTGGCTCCAGCGGATGGGCTGAGCCCTCTGCAGGTGTGTGTACCCTGGGAAGAGGATGTCACGTTCTCTGTGGGGGAAGAGTAGGGACAGGATGCCTGAGGGCCTGCAGCCCTGGACCCTCCAGAAAACAGCAGGGCAGGTCTACCGGGATCTCCCTGGACAAGGGGTCGAGTGATCTCCTGGGGATAAATCATTGTAAGGGAACAGACCCAAGACCAAGCGTGGATTAGACCCTCAGCTCGGGTCTTTGCTACTCACGGCACAGTGGGTACCACCTGGCAGTGGGAGCCATGTCTGTGAGCGAGAAGCTCCCCAGGAGCCCAGAGAGCCAGGGGCACTTCAGAGTGGGCGGGACAGAGGCAGAGTGCTGTGGGCGCTGGTTCTGGTTTGTTTTTTTTAGTAAACATTACTGAGGTGATGACTCACATACAATTCTCTCATTTGAAGTGTACAACCATCACCACATCAATTTTAGAACCTTTCACTACCCCAAAGAGAAGGCCAGCACTCCTCAGCAGGCCCTCTTTACTCCTCCGGCCCCCAAGGGTGATGGTGCTTGTGCCCTGGTTTGCCCCCAGGTGATGTGGTCTGTGAAACAGAGGTCACAGGGAGTTGGGGAAAAGGAGAGGTCAACCCTGTCCCTGACACCAAATAGGGACTTCTCAGTAGCCAAGGCACAGAAGCCAAAACTTGGGGATGAGGCTGGTGGGAGGTAGCCTTTGGCTCTGTCCTTTGCCAGCGTGCTGGGCAGAAATGGGGACAAGGGGCACAGGCGGCTGGGGAGCGGCTCTGTCTGCCCCAGGCACGGCCAGCCCCCTTCCCCAGGCTTCAGGGCACCTGCCCAGTGCTTCAGCTTCCTGCTTGTGAATCCTCAAAGCGTGAGCTTGCCCCGCCTGCCGTAGGGTTAGGTATACTGCAAGAAACGCCCCACTCCTGCTGCTCTGCTCACTCAGTCCAGGAGCTCTGGGACCCCTTGCACCGCAAGGCCTGGCTCCCCTACCCTCTTCACCCCTGCCTCCTAGGGCTGGTATTCAAGCTGCCTGTCTCAGGGGAGAAGAGACCTGGCTGCCTTCACGCCCTTCTCTGCACCTAGGCGTCCCCAGGGGACTCACGCCTCTGCCCGGTCCACCATGGTTCTGATGAGCTCCCGGAGGAGGGCAGAGAGCATCGAGCAGTTCTGCCGCATCCACAGCCTGAGATCTGTGACCACCTGTGGAGGGGAGGCGGCACTCAGGGAGACTGATGTGTGACTCCCCGGGGAGCCAGGACAGCTGCTGAGCCCCAACACTGCTGTCTGAGCTCCCCAAGGTTGGGCAGCACAGAGTGGGGGTGGAGGGGCTGGCGGCACCTGGTCGTTCCGACTTCGTCCTGTGTGCAGTTTCCCTGCGGTTTCACCAATGAGCTCCTAGGGGTGGAGGAGGCATGGGTCAGGGTCTGCTGCTCACGCCCAGTGGGGTCCACCCAGGTGGACATGCTTCCTCCCTGCCCTGGAGTCCTCCCTCCCTGCCCCAGGGGCCCCGGGTTCCGCCCAAGTCTCTGCCCTCTCTGCCGAGGCCTCCTGTTCTGAAGTCCCGCCCAAACTCTGCCAATGACGAAGTGAACAGACATTTGTGCTTATGCTCAAAGTGGCCCAGGGCAAGTGGAGAGGGAAGGCGGGGGCAGGGGGTGGGAGAGAGAGGAGGGAGGATGGGTCATACCTTGAGACGCCGCTCATTGGCTGTGTGGATGTCCTCATCGTTGGGATTTAGTTTGAAGGTGCCCTGGGCCCACTCCTCCGCCACCTGTAGTAGATGGCAGCCACCAGGGGTCAGGCTGGCAGGCATGGCAGCCAAGAGGGCCAAGCCCTGTTCCACCCTCACCCTGATCACTGACTGTCCCTGGATTGGAGCTGAGTCCTGGGAGTGCTCCCTGGGGGGGAGGGGGGGCTGTGCAGCCCCCACCCAAGGGAGCTTCTCAGGCACTATGCACCTTTGCCCATGAGCCACGGGGCCACGGGGCATTCAAGATGAAGAGAGCCAGCGAGCTCTGTACAGGGGTAAAGGGCACTTCTCTAGGGGCATAAGCACCACAAAGGGATGTGAGAGCCTTAGGATGACACTGCAACCTGTGCTCGGGGATGCGGTGGGAGCCCGAGGCCACAGGGAGGGGCCCTCGAAGGACCTTGGGGCATGAACAGTACCTTGTCCAGGCCCTGGAGTATCTTGTCCATCTCGGCCTTGGTGAGGAGCCCTGCCTTCTGCAGGCCCCGGCTATAGGCCTTGCTGCCTTGCACATCCACTTCCCACAGCTGCCGGTCGTAGGCGATGGACGCGTTGAACTTCTCCATGATGGGGTCCACTGCGCCCACAAACCGGCCGCCCCATAGCTTCCCGCTCTGGCCAGGAGAACAGGAGCAATTAATCTCCCCGTCCTCCGCCAACCTCAAGGGCAGTGCCTCTCACAAAGGGCCCGCAGGAGGGTTATCAATGTGATGGCAGTGGCAGCCAGCGGGCAGGATTACTCTCACTGGACAGATAAGGAAACTGAGGCCCAGAGAGAGGCAGGCACTTGCCCAAGGAGTGAGTGTGGGAAGGTGGCTGGACAGTGAAGTTAGGGCTCTTTCCCACCACCTGACACTGCTCCAGGGAGATGGTGGCAGGGTACAAGGACCCCTGAGACCACAGCAGAACTTCTGCTACTGGCCAAGGTGGAATCCAGAGTTTGGATCAGCTCTGATGTACCAGTGATAATGATAATCATCCTGGTAACGTCTCAGCTTACCAGGCACTGTTCTAAATGCTGGGCACGTGCTGACAGCGACCCTCTGAAGTAGGCACCAATCTCTCCGGTACCGAGAGGGGAAACTGAAGCCCAGAACAGTTATGTATCTTTTGCCCTCGCCAGGGGTGGCAGAGCCAGGACTGCCGTCCGGCAGTGTGAAGACAGCCCGCACACACTCTGAACCCACGTTCCGCCAGGACCTCTGCTGGCTCTGCTATTCTGAACGTCTGCTGCGAGGACAGGCAAGGAGGCACTGAGGGACCCATCAGGCTCAAGTTACCTGCATCTCCCTCCCATCACTCGGGGCAAGACCTAAGGTCCCATCCCCAAACTTCTTTGGAGAGCACCTCCGACACACCTGTTATCTCTGGCCTTCTAGGAGGTCACTAGCTGCCCCTCTGCCCCCAGGAGCCAAGGGCAGAGAGATGGGATAGAGACATCTGTTTTGAAAGAGGGCATAGGCCAGGGCATGGGACAGATGGGGGAGGGGTGCAGAACACCTCTGAAGCCGTCTGAGCACTCAGAGTGCCAAGGATTAGGAAGAGAGTGTGCCACGGTGGAGCTGTGGGCGGTACTTCTCTGGCATCTTTCCCCTGGAGTGGGGTTTAAATGGCCACTGGGGACATGTCCTCCTCTGTCCCTCTGTTAGCCACCTGACCATGACCACGTTACATAACCTCTCAAAGCCTCAGGATTGTCCCTCTATCGATTTGATAAAATTTGCCAAATGCATACACAGCACAGTGCCTGCCACTCAATAGGGACTCAGTCAATTCTAGGTATTACTAAGGGAGCAGCCGAGGCCTGCGTGGGCCAGGGTGTGCCTTAGCTTGGTTCCTGTGTGCACCATGGGGCCTCCGCCACACTCAGGCCCAGGCTGTGAGCTGACCCCTCAGTGCCCAGCAGCCTTGGCTACCCTGCAGCAGCTGCCTCCGCCCCCCTCAGCCTTTTGAACTGGGCCTGCCCCTTACCCTCTGCTGCCCCAGCAAACCTTGATCTCCATCAAAACATGGGGTCCCGCCCTAACCGGTTTGGCTCAGTGGAGAGAGCGTCGGCCTGCGGACTGAAAGGTCCCAGGTTCGATTCCGGTCAAGGGCATGTACCTTGGTTGCGGGCACATCCCCAGTAGGAGGTGTGCAGGAGGCAGCTGATCGATGTTTCTCTCTCATCGATGTTTCCAACTCTCTATCCCTCCCCCTTCCTCCCTGTAAAAAAATCAATAAAAAATATATATATTAAAAAAATTGAAGAAGTAAAAAAAAACCATGGGGTCCCAGGCCTAACTATTGGGGCCAGAGGGCCAGGGCCAGCCAGTAAGGATGGGGAGCCAGCCTGCCCCTCAGCCGGAGGCACCACCCCTCCCAGCAGGTCCCTAGACTCCCTGCCTGGGTTGTTAGTAATAACTACTTAACAAGTGGGGCTGCCGCCAAACCAATTAGTGCAAACCCACAGGACAGCCTGGGGCAAGCAGGTCGCCTGGCACCCTGGTCTCCTGAAAGCAGCCTTTTCTGCTTTGGGGCCAAGCTCCGACCCCACTGGCAGGCTTAAAAGGACCCCAGGAAAATGTCAGAATGAGGTGCCACAGCCTGGGCACCAGGAAAGCCCAATGTGGTGGAGAGGGGACTGCTAAGGCAGCGAACATCTGGGCCAGGATGATCCCGTTAGGGCAAGGGGCAGGGGCACGGGGTTGGGCTGAGATGTTACTGTGAGTACAATCTGCCACCATTTACTGAGCACCTGCTGTTACCTGGCCCTGTCTAGGCAGGCGTTCTATATGTGCTGTCGCACCCTCCTACAAGGGGGGCACTGTCACTCCCATTTTATAAACGAGAAGAGAGGTTCCGGGAGGTCGAGTGGCTGTTCAGAAACCAAGTCTGTTGGGCTCCAAAGTCCAGGCCCTGCCCCCAGCCCTCCACCGGGACCTCGAAGCTGGCAGGCAGGCATTCTCATCCCATTTATTCAGATGCACAAACAGGTCCAGAGGAGGAAGTGAGTTGCCAGCTAATGAGGGCCAGGAGGGACTGCAACGCAGACCGCCTGCTTCCCAGGTCCAATGACATCAAGCAAACAGTCCCTTTTACCTGAAGGGTTCCAAGCAATGGCCTCATAAATCTAGTACCTTACAGAGGGAGGCAGACGGCTATCATTCCCCCCATTTGCCAGGTAAATCAGCGGGGGCACAGGAAAGGAGCTGTGCCTCTGACTCCTGCCACTCTGGTCAGGAAGACAACCCAGGAGTCCTCTGGCTCTAGGGCAGGGAGGAAGCTTCGGGGCACTGGGGCCCCTGGGGCCCCTGGGGCCGCAGGGCAAGGTCCCCTGTCTCCTGGCTCTTTCCACCGCCTGTCATGTGGATTCTGCGACTCTGGGACACCTGCTTCGGCAGCAGGTGGGGTCGGACCGCCTTCCCGAGCTTTGGTGTGTTTGCCACACAGACTCTGGGAAGGGGCGCGGGAGGGGCGCAGGTCTCTGCCAGGCTCTGCCAGGTGCCCGCTGCCTGGAGCCAGTAAGGACCATCACCGGGAGGGCGGCCAGCGGCAGGTGTGGCACCAGGAGATGCCGCGCGCAGGTCGCGGCTGCGGCTGGCCCGCAGGGCGCCCCTCCCCCTCGTCCGGCGTCTGGCAGGACCCGCGTCCCCGAGGCGCCACTCACCTCCGATGCCATGTTGGGTGGTTCCTCGTCGTCCGGGAGCCTCGATCCTCCGGGTCTGGAAGACAAGACGCGACTGACGACCTCCTCGGCCCCCGGGCGGGGTCCCCAGGGAGGAGCCGCCCGGGGCTCCCGCACGGCGCTTGGCGGAGCGCGGCACGTGGGGCGGCGGACGCGAGCAGCGCCTCGGTCCTAGGCGTCCCCGCTCCCGCCCGTCCCGCCCGCCCCGCCCCACGTCCGGCCGCCACGCACTCACCACCGCCTGGCCGCGCAGTCTGTCCCCGCCTGCCAGCCCGCGGGGCTTTTCTGGCGGAGACGGCGTCAGCAGCAGCCGGGACCTGTCCCCGCCTCCTGGCGGCGGTGGCACCAATCCCCGAAGGACCGATGTGGGCGGGGCGGCCTCCAGCCCGGCCTCGGGCGGGGCGGCCCCAGGGTGCGGGCAGGGGTCGGTGCCTGCGCCGCGGCGCTCCGGGCAGCAAGTCCTCCGGGCGCTGGGGACAGGAGCTGGGGGTAGAAGAGAAGACGCGGGCGGGGCCTGGTGGACGGTACCTATAATGTGAAACGGCCTGCCGATCATTTATTCATTCAACAAACACGTGCTGGGAACCTCCTGTGTGGCAGGTACAGAGTTAGACGTGGAAGAAAGAGCGAAGAGCATAAGAAATGACGCCTGCCGCCAGACGCTTTAACAAAGCATGGGCCAAGGTGTGCGGAAGGTGGGGGCGTGTCGTCAGTCACAGGGAATATTTCCTTGGCATGATTAAATAATTATTCAACAAAAATAACGGGCTGGTTTCTAAGGGGTAGCCCCGGACTCCTACGCCTACTGGAAGGGCTTCTAGTGGAGATGTCTCCTGAGTTGGGTTTTGGAAGAGGAGAGGGAGTGAGCTCAGTGAAGATTAGGACATTCCCTGCAGAGGGAGCAGCCTGGGCAAAGGCCTGGAGGCCAAGGAGAATGGCACGTGTGGAGAACAGGAAACCATCAAAGTGGCTGTAATAAAGGGTCGGGGTTTGAGGATGGGGGTGGGAGGAGAGAGGGGAAGTAAGATGGGGCAAGATTGTGAAGGGCTTTGCATTCAAGGGAGAGAGTTTGGTCTTGGATGCCTTGTGGGTTGAAGGTTTTTAGCCCTCACTCAGGAGTGGGCTTCCAGTACTGTATTGGGCTTTTTCGAGCCGCCTTAAATGCTCTTCCCTATACCTGGATGCTCTTCCCTCACTGTCTGTCACGCTCTCTCCCATTTGTCCATCAGAGTTCTAGCTAGGCTTCATCAATGTCGGGGAGACTCTGGATGCTGGATCCAGAGATCTGGCAGTCTTTCCCTGAACTGGGAGCGCTGCAGTTGTGGCTTCTGGGTCTTCTCCCCCACGCAGATGTGAGCTCCTTGAAAGCAAGGCCTCACCCACCTTACCTCTCTGACCTCAGCAGGCCACTAAGTGGACAGGAAAGCCCCTGAGAAAGCCAGGGGTCCTGAAAACTGAGAGAGCGTGTGGCAAGTCCCTAGGATCTACCTGCTATTGTCTGAGGCCTGACATCCCTTCCTGGGAGGCCAAATATGAAAGCCAGTGGCACGCTGCAAAATGAGGTCACATTCCTGAATATCCAGCAACATACAGGAGCCAAACCCCTCAGCAAATGAATTGAGGCTGGAAAGGGAGTTGGGGAAAATGTTGGAGGGCAGGGCTGTAACCACAATACCTAACTTGGGTAACTCATCAGCTTCCAGATTCTGTACTAGAGACTTCACATGATTAATCTCATTTCATTTTCACAACAGTCCTGTGAACAGGTGAATAAACGAAAGCTGCAAGGGCTTAGGGCTTATAGGATGTGCCCATGGGCACCCAGTTAGAGGGGGACAGTCTGGCTGCCCACACTGTACCACATGACATAAGAGGGGCCATCATTCTAGGTTTGCTTGCTGCACATAGCAAATGTGGCCTGTGTAGGCCACTGCAGGGTTGGGAAAAGGAACTCAGGAGACGGAGAGAGACAAGGAGGCAGCATAAAGGCTTGTGGATAAATACCCAATCAATGGAGTCTGCAGCTAAGGCCCTGACAGTACACACGAAAGTGGACATGGCCTTAATCTTGAAGAGACGTGCTTAGCATCCATAAAAGACTCATGAGTAGCCAAGTTCCCTCTGAAAAAGCTGAGACCCCTGAGCAAAGCCTCTGGGAGGCTAAGAGAGGCTCAGGGAAGTGTCCGTGTCAGGGGCCAGTCTGTTACTAGAGCAGGGAAGAGGACAGGAGGGACAGGTCATCTCTAACCACCAGGAGGCCACCCTCTGCTGTCTGCAGTCCACAAAGAGGTCAAAGAAAGGGCTCTGAGGGATGACATTCTTAGGCCTTGAAGAGACAACTCTCATCCCCTACAATAGCCTCACTGCTCCTGCTCTAAGTGGGAGGTTTAGGTGGACCCTAAGTTTGTTGTGGGAACATGACTGGAAGGAAGACTGGGCTGTGGGAAGCCATTGCAGGTGTCTCATTCTCTGGGACAGGGGTGGGCAAACTTTTTGACTCGAGGGCCACAATGGGTTCTTAAACTGGACTCAGAAGAAGGAGCTGCAGCCGTGTTTCCCGACGTTGCCATGTTAACACTGCTGCTGGTGAAGGAGCGGAGGGGAGAGCAAGAGAACCCTCCGCTCTTTCGGCTCCGCGGGCCGGATAGAACAGCCGAACGGGCCGGATCCGGCCCGCGGGCCGTAGTTTGCCCACGGGTGCTCTGGGACCTCTTTGATCACCATCAGACCCAGCTCCTTTTCAGACTGCCAGGATGAGGTTGCTGGGGTTTGAGGACTGGGGTGAGTCTATTCCCAGGGAATTGCTAGTATTGTCTGAATCCTATAATGCAACAGAGATGGTAGCAAGCCTTATTAAATGACAGGTGCCCAATTTCATTGCCAGGAGACCCAGACTTTAAGAAATGCTAAGGAAGTTTTTTAAGCTGAAGGGAAATGACATCAAGTGGAAGCTTGGGTTTACAGAAGGAATAAAGAGCACCAGACAAGGCAACTATGCATAGAAGACTTTTTAAAAGCCTTAAAAAAATTTAAATACAAATAACTATTTAAAAATAATAATATATTGTTAGTTTTATAACAAGTGGAGAGGGATACCAATGGAATTATACTGTTGTAAGATTCTTACATTATACTAGTACATGAAGAGGTATAATTTTAATTCAGGGAACATTGGGATAAATTAGGGATTCATATTGTAATTCTTAGAGCAACCACCAAAAAAAATGTGGATATAAAAACCCAATAGAAAGAAAAAAAATAAAAAATAAAACCAGTAGAGGAGATAAAATGGACTTTTAAAATATCCTCAATCCAGAAGAAGTCAGAAATAAATGACACAAGTACAGATAGAAAAAAATAACAAGATGATAGACAAACAACTACAGTTCACCTTTTTTTTTTTTAAAATATATTTTATTGATTTTTTACAGAGAGGAAGGGAGAGAGATAGAGAGTTAGAAACATCGATGAGAGAGAAACATCGACCAGCTGCCTCCTGCACACCTGTGCCCGCAACCCAGGTACATGCCCTTGACCGGAATCGAACCTGGGACCTTTCAGTCCGCAAGCCGATGCTCTATCCACTGAGCCAAACCGGTTTCGGCTACAGTTCACCTTTGAACAATGTGGAGATTAGAGGCGCCCAACCCCACACAGCTGAAAATCCATGTATAACTTTTGACTCCCAAAAACTTAACTACTATTGACTGGGAGCCTTACTGATAACATAAACAGTCAATTAACACTTGTTTTGCATCTTATATGTCAGAATATTTAGAGAACATGCCACCGAACAACTGCAAAATAAATTATTGGTGCCCTTTGCAAGCAGCAGGTAATGATAATAATTTTGTATTTTAAAATGACCCATAAAAATAAATTATAGTATAAATATATACCATGGAATATAACTCAGCAATAAAAAGAAATGAACAATTTATATATGCCACAACTTGGCTGAATCTCCTGGAAATTTTATGCTTTGTGAAAAAAAAAAAAAAAAAAAGCCGATCCCAAAGGAATACCTCAGTATTGATTCTACTAATACAACATTTTTGAAGTGACAAAATTTTAGACATGGAGGACAGAATAGTGGTTGCCAGGGATTAGGGATCGGGGTGGGGGCAGTTATTATAAATAAACATTATGCACAAGTCTTTCTATGGACATATGCTTTCATTTCTCTTGGGTAAATACCTAGAAGTAGAATGGCTGGATCATATGTTTACTTTTTTTTAGGACATTAACAAATAGTATTACAAAGTGGTACAATTTTACTTTTCCCACCAGAAGTATATGAGTTCCAGTTCTGTCCATCCTTGTCAACACTTAGACTGGCCAGTCTTTTTAACTTATTCACTCTTATAGGTGCATAATGGCATCTCATTATCATTTTAATTTGCATTTCCCTAGTGACTAATGCTGAGCATTTTCCCATGTGTTTATTTGCCATCCATATGCCTTTTTTAGTGAAGTGTCTGTTCAAATTTTTTGCCCTTTTTAAATTGGGTTGTTTGCTTATTGTTGTGTTTTAAGAATTCTTTTTTTAAAATATATTTTTATTGATTTCAGAGAGAAAGGGAGAGGGAGAGAGAGAGATAGAAACATCAATGATGAGAGAGAATCATCGATTGGCCACTCCTGCATGCCCCCACTGGGGATCAAGCCCGAAACTGGGGCATGTGACCTGACTGGGAATCCAACCGTGACCTCCTGGTTCATAGGTCGGTGCTCAATCACTGAGCCATGCAGCTGGGCATGGTTGCTTCTTGTATGTGCCCTGATAGGGATGGAACCTGCAACCTTGCATATCCAGACAATGCTCTAACCAACTAAGCTATGTGGCCAGGTCTCACTTGTACCATTTTATTTATTTACTAGAGGCCCGATGCACTAAATTTGTGCAAGGGCCTTGGCCCGGCCCTGCCTGCTGCGTCAGGGGGCCTCTGCCACTTCTGCCTCAGCCCCACCAGCTCGCTGTGGCTTTGTCTGGA